TTTACAAATCACAGAATCATACACTTTAGCTGGTAAACACCTTAGCATCCTCATCTCTATATTATACATAAGAAATGTGAAACAAAAGAAATTAAAAACTAAAGGCAATGTATAGAAACTTGTTCAAGTTTATTCAGAGTAACAAAGTTGTTATTCTTGTTTTAACAGTCATTTTTATTTTTCACTTGGAAGCTTCTGAGATTCATAATTTAAAAAAAAGGAAATCACCACATCAGGGTTTATGGTTTGTTCTCAAGGGCTGCTTTGCTGCATTGATGTATAACGAAAAACTTGACTCTATCAGTATATAGCCCTCCCTGGAGTTATTTTTCCAAAGTGCTGTGATGTGTCTGCTTACATGAGCCAATTCAATTGTTCTGAAACCAATTCTTTGAAGAAACCTTGAAGTGTCTTCACTTTCATTTCCCTGAGGTCACTCTTTTATTGGCCATGTGACAGCCCTGCAGGAGTCCACCATTGTGAGGATGAGGGAGACATATATGTAACTGACAATTTTACCAACTCTACAGATATTTAAAATAGAATTCTGAACTGCAGTTATCTAAGGTTAATTCAGGTCTGTTTGAAAATCGTATTTATAACTATCTTAAAATTTCACATTATTGCCTTCTTATAAAAAATGTGTTTCCAGGATTTGTTTTTTTAATCTTGCATTAAAAGTCAAGAAAAAAGCCATGTTGGATATAAATAAGAAAAAGAATGGAGTTGTATACTTTTGTAGGAATTTAAAAGTAATTATGTTGTAAGGAAGTCACATCTAGTCAATGAAAACAGAGCCAACAGGTTAATTTCATCCATCAACAAGAATAGTACCATAAATAAATTTGAAGACAGCATGCCAGCAATTTCTCAAATAATTGCTGCAAGATTCTGGAGGAGTGCAAGGGTGAAGGCTAGGGAGAGAATATAGTGCTTTGAATGCCTGGGAACCTATCTACTGGCTCCTGTCCTCCATTATCTGAGTGTGCAGTAATTTTTCTTTTGCTAATTACATGTTTTTCTCTAGTTGGTAAATGGAGCAAGGTTTTTGGCCCTTTTATTCTTTATTTTTATGTAAACTTAGAGAATACTTTGTATGATGCCACCAGTTGAATTTCCATTAAGCATGTGTTTTGTTGGATATCTACTTCCTTGATTGCTTAATGTCCTTAGTCCTTAATAGCTTTTAGTCTTAACATCTCTTATGTTTATTTGAAACCCTTTTCATTACTTACTTAAAAATCATCATCACATTTTAGAGTAATTGTTTGAAAGTATATCATTTTTTTTCACAGCATCTTTTTTTTTTTTTTTCATAAAAATCCCTAACTATGTCACAGAGACCAAAAACAAACATTAAATAAAACAGGAGATGCCTGACAGAGGAGGGAAAAATAAAAGGAGAGTAGTGGCAATCCCTAGGCCAACCATTCTCTTTCTCCAGACTGCTGTGTTAGCCAAACAAATTGCAACACAGACTGACTCATTTTGCTTTTTGAAAAGATAAGACATCCATTCCATTAGGAAGAAGAAAACTTTAACTTCTTTGGTTTCAATCATTCACCATGTGAAAATGAAATATATTTCTTAGTATTACATTAAAAAATGATGGAGAAAAATGAGTAGAGTTTTAAAAGCTTTTTAAATCTGGTTTTCATGTTTATTCTATTACTGCGTTCCAGTAAGTGAGGAGACCAAGGATCATCTCTTCTTCTGTGTCTGCCTCTTTTTTTTTCCCCTCTATTTTTATTGTAAAGATACAGACTTAGATTTTATTATGGATCACCCTGCAGAGATTGCTCTTTTTGATTGAGTTTTCTTTTTAGCATTGTTAGACAAAAATCTGACAATTAGAGGAATATGGAGAGATCTAACCAAAAAAAATTTAATTATATCAGTTCTTTATGTTTTGCTTTTGTCTATAATAGAAAATCTTAGCATAATAGTGAAAGCACTAAAGCAATTTGATTGTATCGTTCCTGAGCTGTAGATTCATGCTTGTCTGAAAAGCCCAATTATTAAAATATACATGATGCCATATTATCCAGAAATCATATAATCTGTTTCTGGATCTCTTATTATGTTGTTGCAGGAGGTTATAAAATGTTAAGAAAAAAAGAACATGTGTTTGTCTTGCTATATCAATTCAAAAAAGAAATATGAGAATAGAAGAGGACCACAGAAAGAAGATTAATCACTGGTCTGAATGCATTCACAGTCTTCTTGGGGGCCCATGAAACCAAGATTAACTACTCCATTAAAAAAGAACATACTCCATTTAACAAATTATAAAAGCATCATGGTTAATACATCAAAGAAAATCTGGTAAATGTGCTGTTCATTATAAAACAAAAATAAGTTATAGCAAAATAGAGCAAAATTATAGGAATAATATAAACTTATACAGAATATTTTGGACAGATTGGAATTGAGAGACAAAGCAATGTGCTTTCTTGGGGTTATATTTTTATCTTAGAATTAGCAAACACAAATGGCTATTTTCAATATTTTGTCTAAATAGAGATGGTCAAGCATATAAAATTCCTTCAAATGATAGTTTCATTTTGCTTTGTCTTCATCACATTTTTTATTATTTTAATGATCAAAATTTAGTTTCCAGGTCAGTAAAATTTAACTTCTTATAAAAAGAAATTTAACTTCTTATAAGAAGCATAAGTAAAGATGGTAAGTATTACACTACTGTGGTGAAATATAAATAATAGGAATTTGAATAATTCAATATCTGGTGTTATAGATTACTTGTGATTGTCTTCGTAGTGGCATTTAATGATTTAATGGCTGGAGAGTTCAATTAATTTGGAGTAGTACCTACACAGGTTATCTAAGACAGAATTTTATGTCAAAGAAATTATAGCCCAGTAAGAGATGGCTATTATAAAAAAAATCACACTAAGAAATGTGTACTTTTAAACTAAGGAAAATGTACTCTTTCTGAAATTGTGATGCGTAAATAAATTACCACAAAACTCATTAAAATATACATTCTATGTTAGTGGATTCAGAATGTGGCCCCAATTCTACATTTTTATGAAGCTCTTCAATGATACTGATGCTGCTATACCTTAGGCCACATTGAAGTAGTATATTATTCAACATTCTCAACAGAAATAGAACAGAATATCTCTTCCCTCTTCCATTTCTATCTCTATTTCTATCTCTGTCTCATGTCTTCAGATCAAGTTTTGGAAATTTCAACATTTCTTAGCTGAAATATAGAGAATCAATCCCCAAAGGGGCAAGAAAAACATCTGAAAGAGAAAAACTAACACAGTATAATAGGAGCTATTTCAAGAGAGAGGGAATATATGAATTGTCCAAATGCTGGACGATCAATAAAATGTTAACTAAAAATAGCTTTGGATTTATGAATAGAAAAATTTTATTTTTTTCTAGTAAGAACTGTTTCTTATGTACTTTTGACATATCATGAGACTATAACTTGTCTGCATTGTATCGTTGGAAGTTTGCAAGAAAGTTGAAATTAAAAAATGATATGCACTAAATTATAATTATGTCACAAGGTAACCTTATTGTATTTGAGATGGGCATATACTATCCCATCTCATATTTTGCATTATATAAAAATATGTATGTGATACTGGAAGATGTGAAAGAACATCTAATAGATATTAGAATTGTTATAATGAACAGTGAAAACTGCTGGGCGTGGAGGCACAAACCTGTAATTCCAGGAACTCAGGAGACTGAAGCAGGAGGATCACAGATTCAAAACCAGCCTCAGCAACTTAGGCTATTAAGCCACCTAATGAGAACTGTCTCAAAAGGGCTGGAGATGTGACTTAGTGGTTTAGTGCCCTGGGGTTCAATCTCTGGTACCAAAAATAAGTAATAAATAGTGAAAACTTTCTAAAATTGGACCCAACTAAATATAACTAATGTTGAGTTAAAAATTAAAGATTCAGTGTTTTCTTTTTCTATGTGATATTTTAATTATCTTTGAAAACAAATGAATGAATGAATAATTATCTATGTTTAACCCTAAATAAATCTGGTGATATGTCTGAGAGCCACATAAAAGTAAATTACTCCCAAGAAATGCTTTACCAGAGTGCTGCCATTTTCCTAATGATGCTTTTGAATTAAGAAAAATACAAAATAAACAAAGCAAATCATTTCCAAGTATCCAGAAGAGAAAGTTTTCTGTTTTTATAACTTTGTTGCTTTGATTCTTTAGCCATCTAAAATAAATTGAGTACTCATCAATAAAAACAAATGGTTAATTCTTCATACATTTGAATGTATTGCAGTTTTTAATGAAAAGTAACATTCAGTCACAGTTTTATTGAATCTTTACCAATATTTGCCCTTTTCTGCATTTCCTCAAAGTGACAATATTCCCTAAATAATAATTAGAAATATATCTCCCAAATGCATGCATTAGAAGTCACATCCAGGGCTGGGGATGTGGCTCAAGCGGTAGCGTGCTCCTCTGGCATGCCTGCAGTCTGGGTTCGATCCTTAGCACCACATACAAACAAAGATGTTGTGTCTGCCGAAAACTAAAAAATAAATATTAAAATTCTCTCTCTCCCCCCGCCTCACTCTCTCTTTAAAAAAAAAAAAAGAAGAAGAAGAAGTCACATCCAGATGAGCATTTTACAATATGGCTTAACTTTCTGTTTGGAGGTTTTCTTTAAGTGTTGGACAAGAGGCAAGTGAGCATGCAAGTTCCTTCAATGACCTGACATTGAAGTAGAAGATGAAATTTCACCAAAGAGTATGTATATTTTTGGTTATTATGATTTTTCTTTGTGTACATGTATATATCAGAATTATTATCTCTGTAAGGTTATGACTGGAGTCTATTGAAATTACTGCTTACTCAGTTGCCTTTTAAAAAATCTTAGGCTCCAAGTCATTGAAGGTAGGTGCCATCCCTGGCCAGCAGGGTCAGCTGAATTTAAGGTCGCTTCTGTGAATTTCCAGGGACACTAAATAAAACACAGATAAGCACTTACCTTTAAACAAGCTTCAGGGTAGCTCCTCTGCTCTTGGCCTCAAACTCCCCAAATGGGAGAGTGAAGGATAGTCATGAGAGGCTGGTGAGAGAGAGAGAGCAAGCATGTTTGGGAGTTCCATCCACAAAAGGTAAGAAGGGGCAGAGTTACAAGGGACATGTGAGTGTAATTCCACCCAAGGGCTGTAGGTCCATGCCTATGTCTGAATCCTCAAACTTCCAGGACTAGGGCAATGTCCAAGTCACTATGAGATGTAGTGACAGTCAAAGCCTCTCAGCTCTAAGATGGAGATGGAAGACACGAATCATTCAGAGTGGCTCCCCACAGGTAGGACTAGACTAAATCTTATATTTTTAATAGATTTCTCTTCTTCAAGTTCATTAACTTTAGAGCTCTTAAATTGAATGCAATATTTATTTTTAAAAAATTGAATATAGGGGCTGTGGTTGTAGGTCAGTGGCAGAGCACTTGCCTAGCATGTCTGAGGCACTGGGTTTGATCCTCAGCACTACATAGAAATAAATAAAGAATTTGCTTAAAATAAAAATTTAAAAACAAGAATATAGTTATGGTCTATTAGTAATAAACTATACTTTCCTCTTGAAAATTTAATTTAATGCCATTTTTTATGATTAATGAAACAAATCTCAGCAATTATTTCATATTCGCCACATAGTATCTAGAAAGGCTTTGAATATATATTGGGTTCTATGTGATTTAATTAAAATGCCCAGAATAATTTTTTCAAAATATAAGGGAAACAATCAAACTAAGAAACTCAAGACCATAGATAAAAATAAATAGGAGGATTAAAAAAAGTAGCAGCCTTTAGTGTGACTCTCATTCTTACTCCAATTCATTTGCATGGTCATTCATTTCTTCCATAGAATTTGGGTGAAGAAAAGGAAGATGTGACAGGAAGAAAAAATGTTCAATCAAGGAAGTAAAATAAGCTGGGGGAGGGGGCGTTAAGTAAGAAAGCAGATTTGAATTCATAAGAGGAGTAAGAGCAATTTGACTAGATTCAAATATTCCACACCTATGTGACTGTGAACAAATCACTTGTCTGTGCCTTTGATCATACATACAAAAATAACTGATTCACAGATGTTATAAAATCAAATATAATTGCTTAGAGAACACCTGGTACTGAATAATGACCACAACAAATTTTATTATTATTATTCTTACCCTTTCGTACTTTAAAAGACAGAACTAATTGTAAAAAATAATTATTGTCTATTATACATCCTGCTTAAGTAACTCATAATTTTTATCAACAATTAGGAAAATTACAATTAACATGTCATTTCCACATCCGTGGCATATGCCTGTAATTCCAGGTACTCTGGCAACTGAGAAAGGAGGATTCAAGTTCAAGACTACCTTGAGCAACTTTGCAAGACACTGTCTCAAAATAAAAAGTAAAAAGGACAGGATATTTAATTCAGTGTAAAAGCATTCCTAGATTCAATCCCCAATATTGCCAAATAGCATTTCTTAGAAAGTTTTATAATTAAAACAATATTAATTTTAAGTGCTTTGCAGAACACCCTCTGAATGTTCCTATATTAAACTAATTAATGTCTCCAAGTAAAATAAAATTATAAAAATCTGTAATTGTAACTTTTAGCAACAAATTGTAGTTTTAGTGTCCAAAGTCCTATATAATGTGCTCAATTTTATGCACAAATTATGAGCTTTACATGGTACACCAAAAAGATAACTGTCACTAAGTCAAAGAGAAATTAGATTTTTTTTATTGGATATTGAACACATAGCATTGTACCAACCATTAAGCTTCATCTCAGTCTTCTTTCTTTTGCTTTTGAGACAGGATTTTGCTAAGGTTGTTGAGGATTAACTAAAACTTGAGCGCCTCTTGCCTCAGTCCCTGGGACTCCAAGTGTGGTCCTCAGTACCTGACCTATGCAGATAAATTTCTTATGCTATGTTTTTTGCCTTTTTTCTGTTCTGTTTGCTCACTCAGGTTTACATTTCTCTGACTTCAAAACATCTGTTTCTTCTCTGTAGTACAGGAAGAATCCAGAACTGTCTACTTTGAAAACATAATTATAAGGAAGTTCTTTATGATAGCAACATTTCCATTCCATATTTATGTTACAACATTTATTTCAATATTGTCATTCTGTATATGAAGATGTAGAAAAGGAATTAGCAAAATTCTTCATTTTTCTTTTCAGTTTAGGACCCTGGTAATTATGAGAGTATAAAATTGGTTAGAAAATATTATTTTAAAAGGTACAATTTTAGATTTTTCTTTTATTTTTTAAATAAAGAGAAGATATTTTAAAGGCCATTCATCTTATATGATAAATAGTACTTTTCTACAAAACCATCACTCTCTTTTTTAATATTTTTTTTAGTTGTAGATGGACATGATACCTTTATTTATTTTATATTATTTTATTTTATTTGTATGAGGTGCTGAGGATCAAACCCATAGCTGTACATATGCAAGGTGAGCGCTCTACCACTGAGAAACAACCCTAGACCAAAACCACCACTCTCTTTATAGAAGTACAGAATAGTGCAAAACACTATATTTGTCTAGTGACATTACTTAAGTCAAGCAGTCTATTGATAATGGAGTAGTTCTAGTATAATAAAGCCAGCCTTAATAAACTTAATGTGAGTAACTGCTTTTGCACTGACTTTTACTCTGAAAGCTAGAGAACATTTTAAAAATTAATATGTATTTTCTATGTGTAATATAGCATAGCAGATTTTCTTGTTTTCAAAAATGCCAATAAAACAGCAATCATCATTTCATCATACAAATCTTTCTTCAGTCTGTATTTCCTATTAATAGTTGTATGGTATCTGATAGCTCTTTTACACCAAAGAAAAATAGAGGAGATAAGAGAAAGGGAAAAAAGAGACAGACACACAATGCAATGGAACCTAAAGGAAAAGGACTAGGGAAGAAGAAGATACAAATAGCCAATGCTGGAGAGCACAAGACAATAAAGAGATGATATAAATGTTGAATATTCTTTTGCAAATGCAGGGATCTAAGTAATAAATGATTAAAAGGTTCAGCTTCATTTAAATACTCACTGACTGACAAAATGACAGGTTTTCCTGGATTTGAGTCGGGCACTGGAGCCCTAGAGTTGGAGACATGATCATTTGTGTAGATGGGTGTAAGGCGAACAAAGCCGAGGAAGAATTTTATAATTGGTAAATTTCTTGTTTGATTTCTTTTCTGGTCCATTTTCCTTTCAATGGTGGACATGCGATTGCATTTTTAATGTCAAAATTCTGACAATTTCTACAAAATGTTGTTTCTAATAAAAATGTTTAAGTTGCTTACAGATGTACATCTAGCGCAAACTTACCAGGGTTTCCTGCTGTGCCACTTGTGTACATGAAGTACTAAGTAATCTACAAATCATTTATCTTACTATGTAAATATATATAGATTCTGAAACAGATTTTAGACTTTTGTCACTTTTGTCATCAGTGATGTTGCAATGAAAGTATTTAGAAGTATGTTGGTGATGTTTATCAAATTAACTCAAAATTCCTACACCAACCACCTCATGCATTTTTTCCTTAGTTCTGTGATACTCTCACAAATATTTTCATCATTAGAGTAATAATTTGTGGAAAATTACAGAACATTTCCCAAACAAAAAGGATTTTTTCCCCAGAAGCATTTATTTTCCTCATACAAAACAAATGGTTTAAATATGACTACTATAGAGTTAGACTATATTGAATTGTTCCCTGGCATGTATCTTGATGACTAACCTTGTCCCCCAAACCAGGTTCGTCCCAGGGCCATTTTTATTTTCTTCTTTCAACAAGTCTTTACACAGCAGCTGATTTTTCCTTCAGATATAGTTGTCATGCAATTGAGACACAATGGCACTTACAAATATCATTTGATACCTTCTGGACTTTAAAAATCCAGCAAGAAAGATAGATAATAAACTATGTGATTACAGTAAAGTGTGACAAATGTTGGCAATACTATAATTCCTTTTTCCAAATTACCATCTCATTATTTAATAAAGATTCAATCTGTTTCATTTTTATGTGTAATTCAGAACCACCTAAATTATTCTCCATCTTCTCAAATGACTTACTTATTAATCAAGTTGTTCTCTCATTGAGCAAACACCTGTTTGACAGTTATTGATCTTGACATTGAAATAACAGCAGTAAGGAAGGCAGATACAATCTTCTTTCTTGGATAGATTATATTCTCCTAGTAGAAAGAGACAATAAGCTCAAAAAGAAATACATAAAATGAACTCAAATAGTAATAATTTCTATTCTGATAAGCAAAGCCTAATTTAAAAAAAAAACAGAGTCACGCAGAGGGAGATAAAATGATATTTCAACTGAAATTTAATTAAATTAGAAAAATTATAGAAGCACCTGGGGGAAGAGTACTTCTAGAAGAGAGAACAGAAGTAAAAGGAGCTTAATGTGCTTGAGGTACAACAGTAGGATCAGGTTGATGTGATTAGAAGGAGATATATTACATGTAAATACATATACACATAGTATGTTGCTGGAGGTGAAATGGGTATCTGTGAAAAAGAGAAGACTATTGTGCATCACAGGGTGGGTAGGGATAGTCCTACTATGAGAACTCTAAACTGAGATGTGACATTTATAGATTGCTCATCATTCTTATACCCTTCACATATAACACACCTCCCTTTTTATGAATGTATTATTCAAATACATTATTCACTGCTTATTCAGATTTTTTACTTTTTAAAAAGACCTCTTAGTTTTTGAAGATTTTTATCCTTGTCTTATTTTGTGTCAACCTATGTGTTTATCATTCCTAATTTAAATGGTGTAGGATGGTATCCCTGTCAATACCTCACTCTCAATTCCTTGACCTTTTATTCCTGTAGCTTTCACCCTTCAAAATCATTAAGACAAAAGTATGTTCATTTATAATAATGTGTCTAAAGTGCAGGTTGAAGGACAGATGGGAACTAGAAGAAAAGCAAACTTTCCTTCTTTACTACTGCTTTGGAACAAAATCAGGGACTGCAGATTATATTAGATATATTAATAACCAATGTCATATCTCCTTGGTTCATCTCTCACATGGGTTGGCATTTCCTAATTACTCTGTTAGTATTCCATCTCAAGGATCTATCAGGTTTCTCTTTAATATATATATATATATATATATATATATATATATATATATATATATTTTTTTTTTTTTTTTTTTTGCAATAATATACTAGTAAGGAGTAAGTTGATGGAGCTGGAGCAAGAGACCAGAATCAAGTTCTGATTTATACTGTTAGTTGAATTTCATGGTTTAAGTATTCCTACTGTGGCCAAGTTCAAGCTATAGCATGATGTATTTGAATGCAGTTCTGATAGAATAAATGCATATGCAGTCATACAGACACAATAGATTTAAATAGCATAAAGAGGATAGATAATAAAAAGTACATTTTGAGTATCCTTATTTGAAATGCTTGCAAGTAGAAGTGTTTTGAAGTTGGATTTTGGGGATTTTGTAACATTTGTATATGTACCAAGAGTTATCTGATGGATGGAACCCAAGACTAAATATGAAATTCATTTACATTTTATATAGTACATTTTACACATGTAGGCTGAAGGTAGTTTTAAGCAATACTTTTTCTGCAGATGCATTTGGACCATAAACCATCTTATGAGGTCAGGTGTGGAATTTTTTTCTTTGTAATATCATACTAGAGCCTAAAATTTCCAAATTTAGAGCATGTAATTTTGGATATTGAAATTAGTGATGGTCAACCTGATAGGTTTTAAATACTCATTACCCTTATTTTGCATACAATTTGTTTAATTATAAATTTGTGTAATTTGAGTTTTTGATGCTGTGTTTTACAGATAGTTTTTGAAATGCCTGAAAGTTTTCTATCACAGGACCATCTTCACAGAAATGACCTTCTCTAAAACCATAACAGACAGCTCAATCTACATCTCAATGAGGCTTGCAAGAATGGAAGAGTTAACACCTCAAGAACAGCACTCTAACCAAAGGGACAGAAACTACAAAATGAGTGCCCCAGAATTCCGAGCCTCAAACGGCCATTTATGGAAAGCAATTGTTTACACCTCTTAGTTATTTCAGATAAGATTTCCATGCACTCTATTTTTTTTCCTTCTTACTTTTCCCTAGCAATCTCCCAAGACCTGTGTGCTAGGAGTGTTTTAAATAAATCACTTCTAACTGTGTCCTTGACTCGGGTTCTCCTTTGGGGAACACCCAAAAGTCTAAGAAGTTAAAAGCACAGGTAAGCAATGATTCAGGATGAGATTGTGAAACTAGGTCACTGTGTAAGATAAAGTTATCTTAAAGCTGACCTGCTTATCTGCTATCTATGAGGATTTGTAGAAGACTGTTACTGATTCTTAACCAAGATAGCTATGAGATAGGCTAGCTAGTAATTTATAATTACTGGCAGTACCCTGATCCACCTTTTTATGTTACTTAAGGATGTGTAGATTGGCATCTGCACCTGGTGAAATCTATTAACAACTGACTTGGATACCTGTCCAATGGAGCATAAAAGGGCCATCTGGAAATTTGTGCCCTAACTCACCTGAAATCAGGATATCTTACATATGTTTTGGAAAAGTGTGCCTAGAAGCTTCTTGGGCCCCATATAATTCTCTGTGTTTATTTTCTACTGCTCCATACAAAATATTTTAGCTTCAGTGAAACCTTATATAAGTATCTTCTGTTGAGATTAGTGAGTACTTTCAGTTATCTGACCTGTGTAATCATTGCAGAACATTATTTCATCATTGGAACATAAAATATATTCCATTATAGATGGTAAGTAGTATCTTGTAACATCATTGTTAATGAGATTTTCATGTGAGCTGTTTTGGAATAAGAAACAGATGAAATGGAAACAGTATATAATGCTGTAGTTTTAGCATTCAATTGTGGAATGGATACAATATATTACAGAATAGTATTTGGAACTGATGATAAGTGATTTCATGATATAATGAAGCTTTTGCTATTTCCAGTTCTGATTCTTAGGGTCCAGTGGGTGCTGCAGCAATCCATCATACAAAAAAGCCCATTTTGGAATAAGCGCCAGCATATTCAGTGGACCTAAATCAGTTTTATGAAGTCATGGCGCAATACCCCATGTTACTCATTTTTATTGCTTTGATATCTCTTCAATGTACACCTAAATGATTCAAGATGGCAGCATCCCTATGAATATCCAATAATCAAGGAAAATTGGAATTCTATTTCACAAATTGTTTAGCTCATTATGTTGATGTTAGTTAAAAATTGAGTGCTTCTGCATTGAGCAGACTTGTAAGTCATACACTTGGATGTATATTTCGAAGGAGGGAGAAGTGGCCTAAAGTGATAATACACACAGAGCCTGGGATCTGGCAAATACCTTTACATGTTGGCTGAAGGACCTGGAAAGGCAAAATGGATAATTAGAAAGGATGGTTTCTGAAGAAATGAAAATGCTAAGGGGATGTGCAGGAATGAGCACAAGTGAAACAATTTTTGTTTTACAATGATGCTGACTACAAACCACACAGTGCAGAGAAGGTACACAGACCAGGTGTATGTGATGATTTACCTGGTGGGTGTCAGTGAGTCTTAGGCTTCTCAGTGTTTGTGAGTAGAATAGTCATAATGGCAGGGATGAAAGTTGTGCAGCATCCAAAAGCATTTTACCCTTATAAGGCTAATTGAGCCATTGCATTACTGGCAGTGAGCACTTGATATCAGAAAAAATAATGTGGATGATAGTTTAATTGCATCACATGTCTTCTACCCTTATAGGCCTGTGCCCCATGTGGATTTGCATTCCCTGATGACAGTGTCTCTGCCAATACCATTATAGAAGAGCTTATAGTATACCTGATTTTCTGATATGGGTTGCCAAATAACAGAAACTTAGATAAAAGGTCATTTGATGGTGGAAAATTTGTGACTGACTATGAGTGTGTGACTACAGAATCTACTGATTCTGCCAGACCCACATCACACTGAAGTCCTCAAACAAATAGAACACTAGAACGGCCTATTAAAGGCTTATCTAAGGCATCAGAAAGGAAACAACTCACCAAAAATCATGGTGATATACTCTATTATATAATATTTCTCATAACACAAGCACTAATTTATACTGTTCTGTCCTTGAGAGTCAGAATACTTGGGTCCAGAAAACAAAGGTTGAAAATAATAATTGGCCATGTCAGACTTGGTGACTATTATGAACTAAATTGTTTTCCCCTCTAATTCATATGCTGAGGCCTCAAAGTCCATATAAGTATATTTGCAGATAGAGTTTTAAAGAGGTAAATTTAAAATAAAATCATTAATATGTGCTCTAGTCCAATATAATCTGGCATCTTTACAGAAAGAGATGAGGATATATGATCCACAGAAAGAATACCTGTAGACACAAAGGTATGATGGCCACCTGCAAATCTAAGAGAGAGTCTGAAAAGAAACAAATATGCAGAACTTGATCTTGACATCCAGACTTTAGAATTATAAGAAAAAATGTTTCACAGGTTTAAACCACCTAATCGTGATTCTGTGTTGTGACAGTCCTAGGAAACTAATACAGTGACCAACATGCAAATGTTGTTATTTTTTTAGGTTCGAATTTGGGCAATGCTGTATTGAATGTATTGGTTTTGAATTAGAGGAAAATACTTTCTCTACTGAATCTGTATCTTGACTACTGATCCAACAGCAAATGAATTATTGCATGTACAGGATTAATTATTATTATGTAGAATTAAGATTGCTTTTACCTTTGAGATTATGAGAGTCTATGGCTGGCTAGTTCCTTGTAACAGAGATGGCTATGTGATGTGTGGACCCCAAAGAAAAGTGAAAATGTGAGGCCCTCTGCTTAAAAGGCAGAAATCAAATGCCAGCACAGATACTAAAATTCCATATAAAATATTTTTTCCATTTTCCTCCTGGTCTTTCTCTTGATTGTTTAAGGTCTTGTCTTGGTAAAGGGATATTACAGGACAAGTGCAGACCTTCATTAGTGCCCAAGATTTCCCCCTTGACTCATAATATTTGTGAGTGGCCTACAGGATATCAAGTTTGTCTTTCTGCCTGATGCAGAACCAACACACCATGTAGGACAGGAGGAGTTTGGGGGGAGTCAATTTTTCTTTTTCAAAAATCGGCAGCCCCAGATTATAGTTAATGGGTGATCCCCAAGGGATTTCAACCCCCCCACTGGAAAGTACTTGGTACCTGGTTGGGGTTGGGAAAGAGGCTAGTTCCTGACAAGTTAATTGCCATGATACTTCAAACCAAGACCAGGACTATCACTGTCACGCCCCACTGCAA